CAGCTCAGGTCATGATCCCAGGGTCCTGGGATCGAGCCCCGCGTCGGGCTCTCTGCTCAGTGGGGAGCCTGCTTCTCCCTCTCCCACTACCCCTGCTTGTGTTCCTTCTCTCGCTGTCTCTGTTAAATAAATAAATAAATAAATAAATAATCTTAAAAAAAAAGAAAGTGAATAATAGTAAAAGGACTGTTCCTGACAAGATCACTTTCCCTTAGTGGGGAGAACAGGGGGTCTCACCATGCACATTACAGCTTCCTTTGGGAGATGGAGAGGCCCATGTGGCAGACTCATTGGTGCCCATCGGAAAACTCCACTGACCAGTTAAGACTACATTTTGGGGGGCACCTGGGTGGCTCAGTCGTTAAGCGTCTGCCTTTGGCTCAGGTCATGATCCCAGCGTCCTGGGATGGAGCCCCACATTGCGCTCCCTGCTCAGCGGGAAGCCTGCTTCTCCCTCTCCCTCTGCCTGCCGCTTCCCCTGCTTGTGCTCTCTCTCTCAATTGAATAAATAAAATCTTAAAAAAAAAAAAAGACTACATTTTGGGGGGTGCATGGGTGGTGCAGTCAGTTAAACGTTCAATTCTTGGTTTTAGCTCAGGTCATAATCTTGGTTGGGGTCATGAGATGGGAGCCCCGCATTGGGCTCCGAGCTGAGCACGGAGTCTGCCTGAGATTCACTCTCCCTCTGTCCATCCAGCTCATGCTCTCTCTAAAATAAATAAAGCTTAAAAAATAAAAGACTACATTTTAGGGGGAGGTCGACAATGCAGATTAGGTATTAAGCCCCCTTTTGGGGACTTGGCCTAAGTGATGTCATTTGGGGCCTATTGTTTTAAGAGAGGGAGAGAGAGAAAGGTGGGGGGAGGGGCAAAGGAAGAGGGAAAGCATTTTTTTTGAGAGAGAGCACAAGCAGGGAGAGGGACAGAGGCGGAGGGAAGCAGACTCCCCTTTGAGCAGGGAGCCCGATGTGGGTGCTTGATCCCGGGACTCCAGGATCACGACCCAAGCTGAAAGCAGATGCTAAACCAACCGGAACCACCCAGGCGCCCCAAGAATTTTTTTTAAAGGCATCTCTCAGCGTAGGAGCTATTTTTCCACCCAACTTTTTTTTTTTTTAAGACTTTATTTGAAAGAGAGAGCATGAGCAGGGGAGGGGCAGAGGGGGAGAGAGAGAGAGAACCCTAAGCAGACTCCCCACCTAGCTTGGAGCCCAACGTGGGGCTCAATCCCACGACCCTGAGACCATGACCTGAGCCGAAACCAAGAGTCGAAAGCCCAACTGACTGAGCTACCCAGGCACCCCCGTTTTCTTTTTAATTATACATATGGTTTCCCAACATCAGGGAAGAATATTCAAATGCCAAAAATGGCCCGAGAGTCCCCCCCATCCGCACCCCACCCCCACCCAGCCGCTCAGGGTCAGTTTGCAAAGCAGCAAGAGGCCTGAAACAGTTTTCTTCATGGAGATCATTTAACATTGTATCATCACTATGATACACTCCGTCTCTTCTCCCGCTGTCCCACCAGAGGACTGTGCTCAGCAGCCCCTGCCCTCCCACCC